TCTTTGCTGCAGAACTAGCAATGGATTCAATATAGTCTTTCCATTTCAAGAATGTTAGCCTGACAAGGCGCAACAAGTCAATCTCCTGGAGGTTAGCATTAGTATTGCTGATGGAAGGCAGAAAGGGGTCTCTCAGATGATTAATATAGAGCAGTTTTGTTTTGAAGACATTAAAATTGACATGCCATTCAAGATAACCTTCATTTCAGGATTTGATCAGTAAGACTGAATCGGTTCAAAAATTTGTCCAGAGACACCATAACTTTTCAATTTGCGAAGAAGACTGGTATGCCAGACTCTTTGAACACTTTCAAGATATCCAAAGCAACAGCTCAAACTTCACCATTCTTATCTAAAGCTTGATAGACTCTTTCAGCAATAATTGTTAATACATTAGCAGTTGACCTAGAGAAATAAAAACTATAGTGTTTGTCTGAAAGAAGTCCCTAGGATGTGAGATGCTTAACTAATTCAACATTGATTAGCTTCACTAATAGTTTACCAAAAAGATGTAGTCCGTCCTGGGTATGACAATAAACTACATCCGTGTCCTGGGTAAGACGATAAACTACGTCCAACAGCAAGGCCTCTGATCAGGAGATTTTGAGGAGCATGGAACTGCCTCTTAATTGCCGGTGCTCCCAGGTCCACCCTGACCCAGGGTGGTAGCACCTGTTAGGGTCCAAGCTATGGGCAAATAGTTAACATCCAAACTTGTATAAAAATAGATGTTAATACCAGGAATACTTTGTAATAATAATAATAAAAAAAATTATTACCAGCAATAATTTTTGAAAGAAAACTTATCAGCAATACTTTAAAAAAATACCAGCAATACAAACAGCTATACATTTTTTGAAAAAAATATTCCCAGAAATAGATTTTTGAAGAAAAACATATTACCAGCAATAAAAATTTTGTCGGCATTAAATAACCCATTGAGGTTGATGAACCACAAACCAAACCAAAACGATGTAGTAGGCTAATAAGCTGATAGTTGAAAGGGTCGGATGGTTCATCTGAGTTCTTAAAACTGGAACAACCAATGAGGATTTCTAAGAAGAAAGAAGCACTGAGGCAGTTTAGAGAGAACATGAGCCTGTTTGGGAGCACATTTCTTAAAGAATATTACAATGTTTGGATGTTTTTTTTTTTTGTTTTTTTTTTTAAGTCAGGGGTGAAATTATAGTTTCTTTTTTTTTCACCTACCATGCTACTGTGCATAAATAAGTGTTATTTTCATTATGTATTAATCCTTAAATTTACTAAATAACATTGAAACCCATGTCCTGGACAAATATTGGATTTTTAAGAGATTTTTAAATTGGTTGTTTACATTTTGGGTCTATAATGGCTGTTCAGTGAGTCACTAAATGACGAGTGAATGTGCCATTGTTTTCAAAATACCTAAAAACTTTATTTGCATATAGAAATGAATTTTTCTTTTAATACAGATTACCTTTTCACTGTTATCTTTCAAGTTAAACCAAAATTTAACTTTAAAGAAGACATTTAAATTATTTAAAATGTGATTTTCGGGGAGGGGGGGCTTATGAAGTCCATGGTGGTACCTACTTATTATTTTCCACGACAGCTTCAGGGGAAAAAAACAACTAAAAGACAATGCTTGTTTGCTAACCTTGAAGTATAAATATATTTTTTTTTTCTTTTTTAAAGAAAATGTAACAATTTTATGTTAATCTCTGAAATAGGACCTAATCCTTAGAGCTAGTAGACAAATGATCAATTAAAAAAAGGAAATGGATTACATTTCAAAAATGATCTAATTATATTTCAATTTTTATGGACCAAAGTTAAACTTAAAACCATATATCCTGTTCACTTTTTAGAAAATGTAAATAAATTTTTAATTTGATGCCCAAATCCAAAGAATTAGAAAAAATATTGAAAACCATGAATGTAAATGCAATGAATGACCATTAAAAGGAAAATTGGATACTTTTTACATAAATTTAGTTAAACTTTCTATGGACAAATGTGAGAGTGCTAAATTTTAAAAAACTAAAAATACATCCAGTTTATTTATTTATTTATTTTATAATATGAATTCAGTTTAATGTTTTTTTTTTAAGAAAATGCATAAAAACACACAAGACAAAAGTGATTTGAGCATGACAGTTTGAACAAAATTCAATGAATACTTTATACAGTTTTAAAATGCATCATTAAAGAAAGAAAATATAAGAAAAAGATTTAAACTGTAATATCTATCAGTGAAACAAACCTGATTTAAAATGGTATTCAGCTGGCAATGTTCATTCTCTTGATTAGCAATTTAAATTTCAATGTACTGAACTCAATGGTACTACACAAAATGGACAATGTAAACCCTTTATTTAATTTGTGTGCACTTCAAATTGGATGGGTGCAGTGATTTGAAACTGATTATTAAAGACTAGACATTGATCTACAAGGTGTAATTTTTATTTTTTTTATTTTTTTAAGGAGTTGAATTTCTCTGATATTTCAAATGCTAACAATGTCAAAACAATCTCAAAACCATTGTTAACTGGTGCAAAAGATGGCTTGTCAATTTTAATGCATCCAAAACTAACCTTCTCTCCATTAATCATCTTAGAAACCCCTCTCTGACTTCTATAAGGATGGCTGATGCTATCCTCCAGGAAAGTGACTCATTGCACCTTCTCTGTCTAACATTCTCAGTTGACATAAAGTGGAAAGACTATATTGAATCCATTGCTAGGTCAGCTGCTAAGAAAGTCAATTCACTGTTCCAGGTAAGACAATTTTTCTCTCTGGAATCTATCTTGCATATCTATAAGTCTACCATTTGTCCATACTTAGAATATTGCTACCATATATTGTCTGGTGCCCATGCTGTTTACCTTGAGCTCCTTGATAAAATCCAAAGAAGAATCAGCAATATTATTGGTCTTGATCTGGTGGCTCAGCTTCTGTCACATGCTCACCACCATAAGGTTGCCTCTCTGTGCCTTTTTTATAAATACTTTCATGCTGATTTTTCGGATGAGCTCTTTGCTATGGTACCTAGACTGTATGAATTTAAGCACAATACTAGACTGGCAGTGAGATCTCATCAATTTACAGTTGAGCTAGCCATAACTTCTATGTTGACAGTTTCTTTTCCCACACTTCTCATTTGTGGAACTCCCTTCCGGCTCCAGTCTTTCCAGCCAACTTTAATCTGCAAAAATTTAAATACAATGTCAATCACTATCTACTTTTCTCATAAATACTCTTTTCTCTTTCTACTCATTAATAATGTTTCTATTCCTAATTCCATTTCAACGGTTATCTTGAGTGAAATTTCACTATTTTGACCTATTTTCACAGTGTAAACTAGAGACATTTGAGATACATTTTTCTTTTTATTAATAGCTCTTTGTAAATTCATTGAAAGGATTTTATGAAAATTTGTGAAAATTTATTTCTCTCTCATTTGTTAAGTTTTTCTGTCCTTATTTAAAAAACATTTTCCTTGCTTAAATAAATGTCTTAGAATCGGTGAATTGTCGGCAGGGTTAGGGTGTGTGTGAGAGAGAGATTTCAGCTAACTTTGATATCTCAGCAATATGTATTGCACACATTTTCTGAGTTAAGACATGTACAAATTAAATTATGAATTTGAAAGAAAAATACAGAACTGGCAAGTTTTAAACCAATTAACAATGAATAACAAAACTTATGTAATGAAAAAATTATGGTTTTATCATTTAAAGACTGACATATATATATAATGTAGATTGGGATAGACTAATATACTATTGGTTATTTTTGGCATTTGATATATTTCATTGCCAATTAGTGCACAAATCATTGCTTATTTCTCCTGTGTATATGTTTGTTTTTTCTTATTACCAGTCTTTATATCTAAACGTTTTATCCTTTAAGTCATTTAGAAAAATGCATTTTGAGAAGTAGGTAACATCTGCAGGACATTGAATCCTAAAACATCTAATCTGAATGAATTCCTAACCTGTACAGAAACCAAATGCTCTCTGACATTTTACAGGAATTGTGTAAAAAGCTGTTGCCAGGATTTGGGCTTACTAAAAAGCTCCAAGATGACTGACATGACTGATATCTGAAATCCTTAGATAAGCCAACATCATTATTCACCAAATTCTTCAGAATAGTATCTTCAGCATTATTGTTTTTATCACATTCGGAATGAGGTGAACATATTTGGTAACCTCACTGAAGAATATGTAGCATGAAGGAGGCTGTGTATAAGAGTCTAACAAAAGATTAAATAAGCAGCAAACCCAATATAAAATTCAACACTACCTGCTAAATAAAAGGTATTTTTATCACAAATGATGGTACAATAAACAAATGGATGTTTTGTAATATTAAATATGATTAATGTAGGCCTCCTTTTCTTTTTTTTTTCAAATGAAAGGAATCTTTTTTTGTCAATTCATCCAAAATGTTTTAAAATTGTTCCTCTTAATACATTGAAGTTTGCATGTTTTAAGACTTTTGAATGATTTTCTACCCCTTCTTTCAGATATTCCTTATTGATGGTTTGTCTAAGCTCATCTTTCTTAACTGAAATACTTACTAATAAATGTTTGAAAGCAAAATTTTACTGTTTCTTTGCTAATATTTTTTTTAATGTAGAATTTATATCTTTTGCTGATTTACTTCCATTATGATTCTACTTCAACTGATATAAATATGAGACATGAAATTTAACAATTTTTCATATTTCGTAATATAGTAAAAATAGAAATTAAATTTTTATTGAATAATCAGCAAATATTACTGAAAAATGAAACATTATTTTAAATGTTATTTTTTTAAAGTGGTAAAAATATCAAAATTAAAACAAAATTGGTACTTTAATACTGATTACGATAATATATTTTCTTAATGTAGAGTGCCTGATAATTTTAAACAATGTGTCATACTTGCAACTCCTTATTGAAGGCTTTTTGTTAGAGACTTGATTTTTGAAAAATCATTAAGAACTTGTAAAAATGTTATAATTGCAGGTCCCCCAACACAGTTTGGTTTGTTTACTACTTTAAAGGAAAGATGGGAGAAGGAACTTGTTGACAAGTACAACACATACAATACCATGTATCGGTCCAAATACTTGGCGAAACCTACAGATCATCTTTTACAGAAACACACCTTTCCTCGGCAGACAATGAATCTGTCATATGCCCACCATTTTCGCAAGCCTAGTATTTTGCTCAGGTCCATAAATTAATGCTTTGGGTGGCAGATCAGTACTTGAATATTAATAAATACAACACATGTTAAGCCTAGAATTAATCTGGGTAGCATATTTTCATTGTTTACTAAATAAAAACAACATCATCTGTATATGTGACACTGAAAATATAACATTTATTTGAAATAATTTAATTACTGCTTGTTTGTCTAAATACTACTAAATATTTGTGTAATGTAACTGACATTACTGCTTCTGAATAGGGGAAAATATTCCATTTTAAAATATTATATTTTATTCAAAATCTGCTCCATTAGATTGAATAACTTTCCAAACAGGATTGCAGTTAAAATATCTCTTCTTTTTAAAGACCTCTACTTTTAGAGGTTAGACCCCTTAGTGAAATTTTTATTTATCTCAAGTGGGAAATGCTTGAAAAGATGATTAGGAGTTAGTCATATTAGTTTTGAGGATGCTCTAAAAATTTGTATCTCTAGTATTTCACCTACATTAAGGAAGCATAGAGTCTGATAACAGCAATAACTCATTTCAAATGTAAAAATCATATCTTTTCAAGTATTTTTTTTAGCATTTGTTTATACCCACTGCTTGTTTTGGAGTTAACCCAAAAATGGAATTTGGTATTAATAGGTTAAGATAAAAGATTTAAAAATCTTGAAGCTATTATTTTCATAGCCAAAAACTTCCCAATATTCTGCAAGGAAAACACTTTATAAATATATTTTCATGATGAACTCTGTGAAAGGGTAAAAAAAAACAAAAAAAAAAAAAAACAAATAGAACAGATTTGGATTGAAAGTTATAATAGTAGTTTTAAAAAGGAAGTATTTTATTTTTTTGAAACAACCCAACAGAAGTACCTAATCAAGAAACATACACTAAAAGTGAAAAATGATTATTTTTTTTATTCATACGTTTGCAAATTTAGTTATTTTTCTGTGTTTTTTTAAAATTTTAAACAATCTTCTTAAATATGTTGACAGCAATAGTATAAAACTTATGTCTTAAAAATGGAGGACAATCATTGAATGGCACTGATTTTCTCCAAAATAATTTGTTTAACATCAAATTTCACTATCATCATGTAAACTGATCAAACATTATTGTCAAAATGTCAAGTTATAGACTTACTGACGCTTTCTTAGATTTTTTGAATAATATGAAAGATTAGAAAAAAATTAATGTAGTTCTTTCTGCACTCCATTAACTTAATTTTTAAAAGTATATAATTAAATAAACTAAAATACTTTTGCAGTTTGACAGCATTTGAAGGGTTGGTTAATTAATATTCTACATATTACATCTAGTAATCAAATGAAGAATCTTTCTACCGTTTTCAAAATTTTCTGTAAGGTTTCTATTTCTCAGAGTTAGTTATAAACTTTCCAATGAAAATTACTATTATTTTCTAAGTCAATTTAAAGTAAAAGAAAAATGATTGCAAATAGAAAAATAATTTTTAATTAAAAAAATGCAAATTAAATTAACAATTACTGAATATTTAATTTTATTACAGTTTATAAATTCATGAATAGGCACAAAAACCAAGAACGGTGATTTCATAAAAAAAAAGACAAAAGTAAACTTTTTGAAACCATCATTTCTAGAAGAAATTTCCATTTTAGTTTTTCATACTGTTAACTATGATCCAAGGGAGACAACCTAATAGAAATAACGTAAAATAATAGGAGGTAATCGGTTTCCTTGCAGAAATTCACTGTGCTGCTACTCACTGAAGCTCGATCTGTAACTGAATTAAAAAAAAAAAAAAAAAAAGCTGCAATGCCATACATTTGATATTGGATGCTGAAAAGTAAATTAATTTGATTGAATCAAAAGGATCAATATAAAAATTTTTTAAATATAGTGAAAAGAACAAAAATATGGCTGGAGATAATAAAAATGACAGGAAAAGTTTCTTCAATTCCTTTGGCTTATTTAATGGTTGCACAATAAGGATTTGAAAGTTGTAACAGAAAATATGGAATAAGAATGAAAAGTTTTTCATCTGGAAGTAATTTGTAAACTATTACATCCAATATTTTTAATGTATATAATGCAGATGGTTACATGTCACAGTTGAAGTAAGGAATTTAACCTACACCTACCAATAAAGCTTTGTGGCCAAACCAAAAGTGATGCATTCAAATAAGAGATGCGAGTCAAAACCTCACCAAAAGCTTATTTATTTCTGATCACTTCTGTTTATTCAATGTTTGTAAAACAATGAGTTGTGTAAAGTCAAAAATTAATGATAAAACCTCATTTAAGAGTTTTGTAGACTTCTATTATTTCATGTTTTTTTTGTTTTTTTTAAAATCATTGAATATTTGTCAAATAAAAGATCTTAATATATCACAAGGCTTGATCTTTCAATTTCCACAAAATATTTTTTATCGGTTAAAGAAATCTTTATAGGTATTCAGAAACATCTGTCTATATTTCCGAGATGAGGTATTGTAATTATATTGTCTGGACTGTTGTCATCTTTATTGTGAATATGACAATAAAAATGAGGACAAAAGTACTGACAATGTAAATAGTGTAAATATTCAGAAAAGGTTATTTTGTGGTCTTTTACTTTTTATTTAAAGGATCATCTCTAAAAAATCATTGTTTATAACAGTTTAGTGATGCAACTGAATACATTCTTATTGAATTGGTACCAACTATGATACAACGTTTATAGAGTACATCTCATGTTCGGGACCAAATCAGAAAATGATGAGAAGACAGTTTTAAACTTAATAATTACTTCCTTTCAACTGGTACATTAGAGATAAAACAAAAAAGGTTCTGTCACTAGTATTGAGTAATGAAGGTAGAGCTGTAAGACTTTTATAAAAGAAGCTTAGAAAGTTGTAGAGTTGAACAAAAGTATCTTCCACTCTCCCAGTTTTGAAGTCAAAGGAACTCAAATCACATTTAATGTGTGGGTATGCACCAGTCAGACTAGCATGATCAAAAATCTGACAGTGTCTACTGAAAGTGCATTCCTTTAGGTAAGAAATTGATAGAAATGATGAAATATTTAAAGCTCATACTAAAAACTGAGAGACTTAATGACATTTTGTTTAACACTAGTTGATTATTTTTGCCAAGCAAAATGTTAGTCCTGCCAATGCAAGTTGAATTTCTTGGTTGTGTAGTCACATCGTTCTATGGCCATACCTAAAATAGTCGTGACTGAAATTGAGAGCCAGGCTACTACAACTTCAAATATATAGAACTAATTACAGGTATTCCATATACAGTAAAAGTGAAAGATTTATTTAAAGAATGTTCCACATAAATCTTACTTTTATAAATTTACTCATCCTTTCCTCCATTTTAGTGTGTTAAAAGATTCATTGTATATCAATGTCTAACTTATTTTTTAAAAATGCCTTGAATAGAAGCAATTGAAAAATAAATCTTTCTCTAGAAAACTAACAATCATTAGATGTTCCCCATTATAAGCCCACTTGATAAATCTAGAAACCACACTATTCTCTCCACCCTTTACCAGTTTCCATTAATTTGTTTTAAAGCTCATACAGCAACAAATTATTTTAAAATGCATAATTTAGTCTATCACTTGCTTGTGGTCAGTATACAGATCATGTTACAAGCAAGGGTCCATATCAAAATTAGCAGTTTAGTTTTATATTTTGAGCAGTTTTCTCTTGGTGTATTCTTTTTTTTTTTAAACTTGGCCATTAAACCATTTTTTCACCCACTCATTTTTTTTCTATATTATTAACTCAGCTTTGTGTATTGAAATGTCAGCTGTCATTGAATAATGGTTAGTTTTTCACAAACCCTTATTCAGGAAGCACACTAACATAGCAAGAATGAATCCTAGAAGACTGAACTTGAAAATAAATAAAATTCATTTATGTAATAAGAAAAAGAAAATCAAGATATGGCAGATTTGGAAATAGAAACTTTACTGTACTAAAGACATTTCTTTACTAATTACTGTCTTGGTTTCAGATACATATATTTTTAAGTAATTATTCCTCCACCTACTAAATTAAACTGAGAATTTAGAATAAAGAAAATTTAGCAGTACCTAAACTTGTACTTTCCAATTCGGTTTTCACTCTTTATATCCACAGTCCACACTAAATCAAAAAAACTAAAAAAAAAAAAACTAATAAATTTCTCAGATTTTGAAATCTTTTCTCTATTTTTGGGTACATATTCTGACAGAAAATAAAATTGCAACATCCTAAAAAAACAACACCAATTCTGACCTAGACACATTATGCACATTCAAGTGTGTAGTAGATAGGCAAAGACTGAAAATTTCATTAGAATATCTTGTGACAAACCAATGCACCTTCTGTGCCTGAGCAGCTTTAAACAGTGACACATTGTAATAAGGTTTAGTTTGGTAGTCCAGTGCTAGTATATCTTATGCTACAAAGATGCACACATTCTCTTTTTGTTTAGATTGTGCACCTTTATGAAGCTAGATGGTCATTTCCAAGAAATGATGTTTGTTAGATGTGACATATTAGTGATACTTTGATTTTGGCATCAGCAATCAACTGAACATCCCTATATCAGGTTTTGAATGGCCACATAGAGCAGAAGGACAGCAGTAGCAGACCACACATCATTGATGATAAAAAAAAAACAAACTGGTTATGAATTGAGTGAAATGTGAAAACTTTATTTTTCCAGTGAATTACACCCAATGATACAAGGTGATCTGATGTGTCAAACCCACAGACAGTTGAGAAGGGAGGGAGAGAGAAGAGAATAATGGTAACAGAAATATTTGGTTTGGCATTTATGCATACATGAGCTTTACCGATCCCAAACTAATCATCCAATGTTTTATATATATTATATATAAAAAAAATGTGAATTTAAAATGAGAAAAAAGCTAAAATATTTCTTGTAGACTTTGGCTTTTGAAAATTTTAGGGAGTGGAAGAAGAGAGAAGAAAATAAAACTGGAATTTTTTTTTGCTTTGTCTTTTTTTTAAAAAAAAAAAAAAAATTCTATAAAATGTTCAGTGAAC